GATAATTTACCCAGACAAAAAAATACACCAAATTATTTTACAGGTTAGCTTGAATTAAAAGTGTTAATTTCTGTTCATGTTAGTAACTAAAAAAGAAAGAAAAGGGCTATGATTATAAAACCATACTTGAATTTATGAGATATAGTATACATTAATTTACTCACGACAAGGATAGTTCTCCAGAAGAAAACAGCAACTGAAGCAATTCCCAAGAAGGCAGCAATAAGTACAGTTTTCCATGGCAGTCCATAAAAATCAGGCCCAGGCTGAACATCATCAGGCAATGTAGAAAGTAGCTGAAAAGGGCATGTTAGAAATAATGAGAAACCTTAAAGAAACTTAACATAAAGCAGTCACAAAGACTCATCCATAGAAACTGTAAAACAACTCTGTCATATACCTATCCCCTCAAAAATCTTCCATAGCTCTCACTGCTTCAAGAAAAATAGGACACTGTGAGTCTTACACTCATCACTTAGCTTGTAGTGTTTCGAAGTATTATGAGTCTAAATGTCTTTAGGCTGAGCATGTATTTCTAGTTTGCAATAGGCCCTGATACAATATGTTATCTAAAACATGGCTAGAATCTCTCTGGATCATACTTTTCTCTTGAATAAATTGGTTTTCGTTGCTTAAGAACACACATAAGACAAAAAACATTAGATATACAAGTGATCAACTTTTCATGGCTAAAAATAAAACCAATATTATGATAATGAATACCACAAAAAATGTGCTATTCCTATTAGATTTACAATCTTAAATCACCTCTTACATAAACAAACAACAAATGCTGAGTAAATTATGATAGCTCCTGATAACTGATCTACATAAACTGCTTTGAATTTAGTGCCTTAATTCTAAATGTTTCCTTGAAGACAGTGCATTAAACACCTGTCTGCTGTATGATGTTTTCACCGCCTTCTACAAGTACACTATCATACTGACCCCATCCCCCAACAGAGCCGGGGGTTATAGTAAAAAGACCTGTAGTCTGTGTTTTGATCATCACTGTACACCAGAACATAAAGTGCTGTCATTTCGTTAAGTACTGAATTAAAACAAAAAAAGTGATGAAACCTCAAACACATTTCCACCTGACTCCTTAAACAGCATAAAACATCTTGCCTTCCTTGGATCTGACACTCCATTTCTCCTTTGCATAGACAATCAGTGCACCCACTCTGCTTAGAATTCACCCACCCACCTGCCAAAGGTGGGGTACCTTCCTGGGAATGGGGACCATAACCTCCAGCAGCTTGGCTATGAAGGCTGCGTAAGCACCAACAGGGGTCCCAGAAGTTCCTGATCCCCCGGGGTAGGGGGGATAGAAGATACAGTGGGAGGTAATGAGTCCATTGTGTAGAACAGCTGAACACAAGTGACACTTCCCTGCGGAATGGCACTGGGACCCTGTGTTTCAGAGCTTCCTTCTTAGGAAAGGCCCCAGTTCAGGGGGCGGACACTGGGATTGAACTTCGCCTTCCACAGCTGCCGGCACTTTTGCTTTAGGCCTCCTATAAAACACGTCATCAGCCACTGCCCCCTGGCACAGTCAGCGCACCTAAGGAGCCGGCCCATGGGGGCGGGGCTAGAGTGGACGGAACCAACTGTTGGGGGGGGTAAAGAGCAAATAGAGCTGGAGCGGAAGAATCCAAGTAAAGAGAGGCAGGGGTGACTGGCGCTTCCGCCAGGAACTGGCAATTTAAAAAGCCCACAGCAAGGAGACCAGGGAGCTACCCAGGGGAGGATCGTGGGTAAATGGAGAAAGGCAGGCCTCTCATGCCAGCCCGGAGGGGGAAACATGATATCTGTAGATAAATATACCATTCTTAGACCTTTAAAGGTCTATCTTTGGCCAGGCACAGTGGTTCATGCCTGTAATCCCAGCATTTTTGGAGGCCCAGGTGGGCAGATCACGAAGTCAAGAGATGGAGACCATCCTGAGTAACATGGTGAAACCCCATCTCTACTAAAAATACAAAAATTAGCTTGGCATGGTGGCACATGCCTGTAGTTCCAGCTACTCAGGAGGCTGAGGCAGGAGAATTGCTTTAACCCAAGAGATGGAGATTGCAGTGAGCTAACATCGAGCCACTGCCCTCCAGTCTGGAAACAGAGCAAGGCTCCGTCTCAAAAAAAAAAAAAAAAAAGCCTAAACTCAACTTGGAGGAGCAATCAAGCAAGAAGAAACAGGAAAACCATGAGAAAGAAGAGAAATGAAGGGTGCAATGCGAGAGGAAAGTGGGATCTATAATCACAGAATGGTACAGGCCCAAGAATGCAGACAGATCACAGGGCAGAATAAAAAATCCAGAAATAGACCCAACTGCACTGGACATTTGGGATACCACAAGTCAGCTGGGGTAAAACAGTTTTTAATAAGTGGTATTAGATATCTAGATAAAAATACGGAAAATGATAAAATTGGATCTTTTCATTCATAAATTGCAAGTGAATCAGAGACCTGAATGTAAAAAATGAAAACAAGTAGCAGAAAAA